GTAAAACACCCAGAAATGTCACGGAAATTTACATGATCTACATTTTGTCCGGATACTTTTGGCAGGTGAGTGTATTACCTGTTATTATATGCCGGGTTCTTCCAATATGAGTTATCCCGGGATCCGTTATTTTAGCTTCTGCCCATCGGAATAATTGTTGGCTGACATATTGCTATCATAGAATCCAGAAAAAAGACACTATGTTCCGTTACCTGGTTGGCAACATTCTATGCTTTTAAGATGTAAAATTATTAAAAATAATTAGAATTTTGATTTACTATTACAGTTTAAAAGTCGAAGAAGTGGTGGTGGTGGCACTAATAATTAAAGAAAGCAATGTTTTTCTCGCAAAAAAGAATGCCCTTCTTCATAAAGGGGGCAAAGAAAGAATGGTCTTCCAAGGAAGGAGTGCAAAAAAAGCTTTTTCAAGGAAGGGTCTTCAAAGAAAAAATTTCTTACCCATTATTTTAATATTACATTTATTATTGTTAATGTTGTTATTAGGCTCCACGTTATTAGTATATAGTATACACAAACTGATGTAAACTATGCGGGATGTCGATCATTATCCTTGAATTCTTGTCGCCAAAAAAACGAAGTATTAATTTACCAAGTTCAAAAGTTAAAACATTACAGGGAGTATTAATAATAATACGTATAACTTGTTGAGACAAATAATATTTATGTGCCATGATTAATAAATATGGCAACAATGACGATGAAGATGATCTAAAAATAATTCTAAACAATCACAAACGTAGTCTCGTAAAAAAAATATATGTATAATTTTATAGTCACTTATTCTAAAAATTCATTACCAACACCCGATGATTCAAATGTGCAGGGTTTTCTCTTTAAGTTCCTGTTCTGATCTCTAGTTAAAGGAAACTCACCATCTTTCTCTCCTATCAACAAGTTTTCTTGCTAAGCATTTAAAAAGTTATAACACACAGATTATAGAGATTGGACTCGGGTAATAACAATTACAACCTTGTTTGGATATTTATATTAGTATGTCATGTTAACTATAGCAAGATCTATTATTTTATTTTTGTAGTTGATGATGATGAGATAGATAATTATTTAAATGACATTTTTACACCAATTTCACCAGGAACTATTGATGTATATTAATGGTAGCATAACAATCAGTATTTATTTCCGATTTAAGTAGAATTACTCACAAATACTTATCTATTCCGTTCCAAGTGAACGTTTATTTTCAGATGCTGGAAATTCAATTATACCAAAAAGAACGCGCTTAAGACTGAAGTTATGAATCGATTTTTATTTGTAAAGAGGAATGTTTTATGTTGTAAAATTTTGGGGGCAATGAAAAATAAATTAAAATTTTCCCGTGTAACTAGTTCTGCGCATAACAACTCGGTTCATCTGACGTAGTAGGTTTTTTTGGACGGGTCCAAGCTCTATAATAATAATAATAAATGATATAATAACAAATTAAAGTTCAAAGTGGCGTTTGTGTAACTTCAATCCTTTCATTGTTGTGATTGTTAAAGTCAAACTAAATTTTCTTTGTATTCTATGTAATAATAATAATAATAATAATTTGAACATATTTGTGCATAACATCTTTTTAGCGAATAGTTTGGTTTGGTTTCTAAAAAGACCTACTAACTTTTAATTTTTTTCAATTGGGGCATACATAAACCAAAAAAATGGACATTTATGACACAAAGAATTACAGGGTCCTTAAAGCCACACAATGCAGGCTCACAAGAAGATTCCTGTTTAACACTTCTTCAAAATAAACCAACTAACGATTTAATGTCTCTTAACGATTAATTAAAGAAGGGTGAATGAAATTGGCGAACTTAAAATAAAAACTAACCAGAGTTTCACTATTACTGCTTTAATTTTGAGGGACCAACGATTTTATTAAAAGTTTTTTTTATTATTTTCCATTGCATAATAATAAATAATTATTTTAAATATTTTTCTCAAGCTCCAAGAATTTCTATTAATAACATCATTAGTTTCTATTTACTGTATATTCATTTCTATTAAAACTTTTTTTTCAAATGTAAAATAAGGAATTTTGAATAAAAATTACTTGTAATTATAAAAGTTTATGTATGCCTTGTATCCCATAGCAGCAGTGTTGGAAATTCGTCGATCTTATGATCTGCAAAAAAAAATTTGTGCACATATGAACACAAGAAATTTTTATT